CTACACACTTTTATTAATAAAAATTACCATAAAAGGCAGGTGTGCCAAAGTGTGCCAAGGTTGGGGGGTAATATTATTATTCTAAATAGGTATTAGCTATTTAGTACTATTGGTGTAAGTATATCTTTGAGGTGATACTTAACATCAATAGATTCGTTAAGATAGGTTACAATTAATTTACTTTTGTAAAGATTGTTAATGTAATGACAGTAAATTTTTAATTTAAATAAAATCTCATATTCAATATCCATTCGTAATAAATATATATATATATATATATATATTATTAAGTTTTTATATAAATTATTATTATTATTATTATTATTATTATTTGGTAGAAAGGGCATTAGATACCAATCTTTATTGATATATATTGATATTCAGATGGTACATCAAACATCATCTGCAATGCTTTAACTACAACTTAATATTAACCTGTCTTATACTATTACTCCATCGATACTAGTAAATACTCATTAAGTAAGTTCATATTTCTGGAAGTGATCTATCTAGAGGATAGAAATTCTATCACTAGTTTTAAACTATCTAACCTACTGGTCCAATTTTAGTTAGGGTATAGAAAAATCTTGATTAGGAGAGTTGATTCAAGTGGATTTTTCAAGCTAGGGCTCCAATCATCAATGAGAGTGTCATGCAGGTTTGATAAGATGGAGTATAGTCCAATCTGTATATCTAAATAAGTGAATGGTTCATTACTTTTTTCAATAGATAACTATTGTGACACCATCCAGACGATCATTATGTCACTACACTATAATAGGAAGATCACAATCTCAACGCCTACCGGATCGGCATATAAAATGGCTTCTTATGAGAAACAGCACATGTTTGGTTATAGTGCCAGATAAAGATGGATTCCTAAATTATTTGTGAGGACATAATTCAAATGTCCCTTACTATTAAAAATTTTCATTTCTATATTAAGGAATAAAAAAAAACTACCTACAAAGGTTCTTTATAGTTTTAAGCATCTATACAAATCATTTCTGGAATTATGTCCCTATTGAAGTAAAGAGCTAGGAATTATGTCCTCTAGGGGACGTGAACATAAAGGGACATAAATTTTATATGCTAAATACTTTAGGGATCCATCTTTAGTGTCAGATACCACATTAATTCTATTCAACCACCCTCACATAAGGTTGAACCGGTATCTTGTGATCTGACCTGTGGAATACTAACTATTGTGCTATAGATCCACAGGTATAAATTATTATTTTTTTTAATATTTAATAATTTTTTTTATATAGTTGTCTTTATTATTACTATATTGATTTTTTTTTAAATTTTAATTATATATTTATATATTTTTGTTTTTATTTAATATATATTTGATCAAAATATAAATTAATATATAAAATATAGTTTTTTTTAAATTGATCTAAAAATAATTTTTATATTATTTTAATTTATTAATATAATAAAATTATATTTAATAATTAATTTGATATAATTGTATTATTATTTGCTTAATTCGAATAATGTTTTTTATGTTTTAATAAAATTAAATAATTATAAAGTGTTTTTTTAGAAAAGATAAAAATAAAATATTTCAATTATTTATTCAATTCTTTTATAATTTATAGTTTATTATAAAAAATATATTTTTTTAAAATTTTAAGATAATTATTCTTTAAAAAAATTGATTTGTTACCATAAACTTTTTAAAAAAATCTATTTTATTGTGCTTATTAAAAATATAATTAAAAATAGTTTGATCATTTGTTCAAAATAATAAATTTAAGAAAAATTAAAAGATTATATAGAATTATTTATTATTATAATATGTAATAATCTCAATCAAAAAATTAACAAGATTTAATAAAATCAATCTTTGATTCTTACTAATAGAATCACGAAAAACAAGATTCATTCTAGAAATCTTAAAATAAAATAATGAATAGATAAATAAATAAAATTAAAATTCATAAATCCAAATCCAAATTATAAGGATAGCAACCACTTATATAATGCTTTAATGTAGGCCAATTGGGTTACCTGGTTGACCAAACTCGTGCATCTCTGCAAGAACTTGTAAAAGGTCTACTGATCCTCGAGAAGAGATCGGTTATGTATCTTCCTTTATGGCAAAGAAATATGAATCGAACCTGACAATTGAACCATTTTAGATACTGTACTGTATATTCCAATTAAAATTGGACATACGCCAAATTCCACTGGTTCCGACCTAAATTCTTATTATTCGACTTTCCGTGCATTCCATTGTATACGGAATAATTCCCATTTGCTTGCGATTCAAGCAGTACTACATCGGCGGATGGTAAATCACCCAAAAGAAGTGTTACTGCCACTTTGGGATTGAAAAAGTAAATGAACATTTCTTTGATCAACAACCGATATTTGAGAGATCACAATTTTGTTATCACCATCCATTTTTTAGTGAATTCAATTTTTATGAAATTAATAAAAAAGAATTACGAATTTTCAAGCCGGAAACCTTATGTCGGCAAGCCAAATTTTACATGCTATCATAATGAAGATTTGACCATAGTAATTGAGGTTAAAAGGAAACACATTTTGGAATATATCGATGAATGGACTCTGCATCGAGTGAGAAAGCAATTCAACAAATCTCAGATGATCGTCCAGAAATACAGTACATTGCAACAAAAAGCCCTTTCAGACTGAATGTTTATGCATATATTTATTCCTTTAAATTCCGCTGCTTCTTCATTTTTACTTATCCGGCCTGAATATTCATCCTTAAAATTATACTTGAACAATTAGTTATTACTAAAATGATACTACAACATAATCAACGTACGAATTAATTATAAAAAATATATACTGTATTATTCTTTATGTTTGATAAACATGGGTCTTAGCCCGATCGAGTTATTTAATTGAAATTAACGTTAATAACCAAAATGGCACTAACCAAAAACAAACTAAAAAAATTAATTCAAATAATTAAAAACCATGTAAATACAATTAATTCAATTAAGCTCAAAACACCTTATTATATATGCATAGACGTATTCTATAATTAATTATTATTCGAAACACCGAGTTACATCAATTGTATGCAAAATTATGCTATCGTTACAAAATGCATGTCAGTAAATTAATGTACAGTGTATCTATAGGCGTGCATGATGATTCAATATAGATTTCTAGAAGAAAATCTACCCAAGAGAAGCAAGATCGACAAATGTGATCCACATTAATCTATAATTATTAGTTTAGTCCAATCTCATTTAGTATTCTTGCCAGTGTACCTTGTTCGCAATAACCTAAATGTCCTGTAGTAAATGAAGTAATATCAAAATTTTCCACTCTATCACATTTAACAGGTCCAAGTCCGGCAACGTTAAGGCTCAATGAATGCATTCTGTAAATCAGTCCGAGCACAATATCATTCGTCGCATAAGCGTTCACAAACCGACGAGATACCACGCTGGCTACTTTTTGCCATTGAGCAACAGGTGTAGAGAGTACGGGTGCTCCGATAAGTATTACTAAACAAGGAGATATATAAAAAGAAAGTTAATCCCGAATATTGATTCAAAATGAGGTTAGATCTAAAAACGAGGACATACCGCTATCGATCAATCCATATTTTTTCCTTTTCTGCAATTCGCATAGGCATGACCAAATCACCAAGGCGCCTAGTGAATATCCTACCTAGAAGATAGGTCCAAAGATAACATTCAGTTTAATAGGAAATCAGCCGGGATCACAGCATTTTTTTATATGTTCATATTTACCAATACAGTAGGTCGTTTTCCTTGAACCCGTTCGCACAAAACATCAGACAAAACTAGACCAGCTTTATACGCGCGATCGACACCTAACGCCCAAGGATTGTCTATCAAATCTCCTGCTTTCATCAGTGCCGTTGGTAGCAAAAGAGCACTCGCTAAAGTTGCAAACACTGTACTGTGCAATGCAGATTGTGCGGCCACCTTGACAGCAGATTCAGCCAAAAACCTGCGAAATGCTCGTCCAAGTGATCGGAGAATTCCAATATCAAAAGTTAATGCAAAGGTATCAATATAATTGGCGGTATTTTCAAATGTTGGAAGCCAAGGCTTAGTCACTTCATTATCATCTTCTAGGATATAACCCGAAATGACAATGTTAACCTTCAATTCATATTAAAAATCAAGTTATTACTTTGACAAACTTCAAATCAACAAACTTTAAAAGGAGCCTACATATAATGACGGAATAAGAGGAATTGCTTCGTCACTAATAATTCGTGTGAAAGAAAACTCCTTTAATCCCCGGGTTCTCTTATGCATCTTATAACCTTGTGAGCAATTATTGGAATCAGCATGTTAAATGTTACAAAGGAAACGAAGGGTATCATGGAATAAAATAACGATACCTCCTAATCCACCTCCAGCAATACCAAATAACGAAGCCATTAATACAACACTTGAAGCGGTTGTTGCAATTATCCCTGCCCCAGTTATTGCCCCTATACCAGCTGCGACAAGTGGAGCGGCTTCACTTGACAACGTGAAAAAAAAGAAATATTTTCTTAGTCAAAACATCACTATTTAAAAAAACAAAAAACACGAGAACTTAACACCACCTACCCAAGCCACCAGTCAAGCCAATCGCAGTTGCACCAACGACTACACCAACACCAGTAGCCATCCAACGCCATTTCTTCTTTTTCTTCTCCTGATTGATCAAGCTTGTGCTAGCGCTATCATGCAATTCTTGTATACTGGCGTCAACCTCGCTTGCTTTCAATTCTTCCTTGATTTTCTGTTGCTGCATAAAATATAAATGTTGCGCCAAACCTTTTTCCAAGGCCTGGACCACAGATTCAGAGACCTCTAAATATTTGGAGCATTTGAATAGAAACGTTCTTGCTCGAGAATCATATTCCCCTGGTTCCATAATTTGCGATGATAAAACTTCTGAGGATGATGGTAAAATTGCTTCGATTCGTTCGCGGCTTTTCTTAAGTGATATGACTTTATCTACCCTTTCTTTCACGTCGATTCCTTCACTCTGTTTCATGCCTTCACCATTTGAACTTCTTTGGGCCAAACCGAGGCAAACTAGCAGAAGGTCATAAATAACTTCTTCACGAATATCCCTTTCTTCACAACGTTTAAAATTGCCTATTAGAAGATTAATAAAAGTCGAATCATCTATTTCTCCGGGCATCGCAAGTAGGACAGTTTGTTCTAGAACCAAAAGTCAGTTTTGAATATTATAACGGTATTATCCAATAAAATTGAAAAGAAAAATTTCCAACCTTTTTCACTAATAGCAAGGTAATGAAAAACACTGGCAAGAAATCTCTTTTTCCATTCCAACTCGAGAGTGTCATTTGACCACGCACACTTTGATACGATTTGTACACACAAAGCCGCTACGTCAAAACACTGTACGGAACTCTGAAACAATAAAAAACGGTGAGCCATAGCAATTAGCTAAAGTAAAAAGTGAAGCGCATACCCATTTTTGACTATAGGAGAAGAGTTCCATCGCTAACACAAATATCAATTATGGTTAGACGTGTATCTGACGCCAAAAACAAAGAAATGCAAAATTCGCACTTACGTAGAGGATTTACATACGCATTTTAAAAATGGTGGTTGCGTAGACGTTGATAAACGTGGTGTTACGGTACTAATTATTAAAATAAATGTACACATCTACTATACACATTCCTATCACACATTTTTCTTATCTTTTGTCGTTTTTAACGGCATCAAAGCCTTAAAAATAAAATTTAAAAAAATACTTAACGTATCGCCCTTGTCGTTGGTTTAATTTTTCAAACAAGTGCCGGGTTAATGTCTGCCCTTCCCCCTTCCTCTATTACAAGTCCTCAAGAACTTTTAAACCACGATCTACACAACATGGAAAAAAAGAAAGAAAGTATTGTCGGCGATTCAACCCCCGATCGAAAAAATTCGATACCTCCTTCTTCCGACAAATTCGAGCTTACAACTTCGCCAACAACATTAACACCGAAAGGGAAACAGGAACAATCTTTTAACCCTCGTAGTAATTGTAATGAAAGTAAAAGTGATAACTCCATTCCAAGTACTGACGACAAATCGAATTCGAAGGTCAATACGTCAAACGAAACATTGATTACAAATAGAAGAATTGACTTTCCCCATTTTCAAGTTGGTGTGAGTGAAGATCGGAACAAGCGCTACCGGAGAACTATGGAAGTATGTATATATCACTTGCAACATCTAATAAACCATTTTGCATCATGAAAAATTGTATGTACTCTAATTGGACGAAATTGCTAACATTCGTTCTATTCTTTGCTTTGTAATCAATTTTTTATAGGACGCACACTCATACTTTTATGATTTCGCAGGGGTCGAAGGGCAAGGTTTTTTTGCCATTTTCGATGGCCATGCTGGGAAACAGGCTGCCGAATGGTGTGGAAATCATTTTCACAAGGTAGAGTAAACCTACGTGGAGGATATGAGTAACAAGATATTCGGCCGGACGAAATTTATTGTTTCGTACTTTAGGCTAGGCTCTCATAGTGAGATAACGAAAGGATATATAACAAAAGTTTGTTTACAAAAAATCTGGTTCCTTATCATTATTTCTTTTTTTCTATCTTTCTTTTTTGTGAAAATTATCATGAACATTTATTGCTGTTCTTGATGTTTTCTATTTGTTCAGACATTTCAAGACG